AATTTTTAAAAAAAAAAAAAAAAAAAATCCACGTGGCATCCTTCTTTTATCCTATCAAATTAGCAGTTACAATGAAACGGCTCATAATACTGTCGTTTTGTTCCACTCATCATTAACCAGCCGTTGGATCGGAAAATCCTCCGAACAAACCCTACTTAGGTTAAACCTTCACCATGGTTAACTTAACTAGATCGGCAAAGAATTTGCTAACTACATCCTTATACTTTATCGTATTTACATGGATACCCTTCTCCTTCTTTTTGCTATAAATTTAGGCTTTGAGACACGCTAGGTTTGCCAAACTGAAGAGCCTAAGGGCCCTTTAGAAGAAATCTATAGAAACAAAATTTGTTTTTTTATAGATTTCTTTACCAACTTCCTTTTTCTCTTTTTCTTCTTCCAAAAAATTAGTAGTAAAAAAAATCTCACTGCCATCAATGGCGACATCTTCTAGAAGATCAAGCGGACCGGTTTTGCCGATTAGATCGGCCTTCCAGAGGTCTATCTCACCGACCGGCCGGTTCTGCAACTCAACGACGGCGACTGATACGTCATCGTTTTCGTCATTTGCTTCTTCGACGAGTTCTAGCTTTTACTCGTCTAGTTCCACAGGTTTTTTCCATCGATCGGCGTCTCCGACGCGCGTGAACCTTTATGGTTTTGCTCCACTGGCTCCTACGCCTTCTGTTAAGTTCTCGATCGACAGATCTATATCTCCTCATCGTTCGATGGCGGTTTCTTCCCGAGATCAAGTGGTTCGTAAGCAGAACAATAATCCGCTGACAAAACTTCCAAAAAGGACGTGTATGTGCTCTCCTACAACGCATCCTGGCTCGTTCCGGTGTAGTTTGCACAAGAATATGAATACTGCTCCGTCGATGTATTCGCCTAGCCGATTGAATGCTCGGCGATCGGCGATGACGAACTCGCTGGTTCGTATTGGTACTGTTGAAGGAGATCTAGTGAAGCGTGCTTTAGCAGCTCTTATACGGCCTTCGTCGCATCATCAGAGGCGTAGAGCCGATTTCCAACCTCGTCCCAGCCGGCTTTCCAGGATGTCCAAAGCTGAGGATCTGTGATGTTGTGTTAAGGTTACAGGTTTGATATTTTAATATAGGTATTTGAAGCTATTCAGTTGAGAGTTTCCGGCGATGGCGTCAGATCCCGGCTGCGGTTTTTATAGTACTCCGGCGAATCGAAGGCCCTGGAAGTTTTGATACTCCGGCGAAGTTGAAAAAACAACAAAAATTCTCCCTTGTACATATGATTTGCAGCAACTGATTGCAATCGAAGGACTTTTTGGACTTTTTTTTTCCAACATCCATTTAAACAAAACACTAACTAAAACAAACGAACTATTGATTAAAATCTTGAGTTAAAAATGAATTTGATGTGTTTTGAGCAATTTGTGTACGAATTGTTGTGTAATGGAGAGTTGCGTGACTCGTTTGGTTTTGTCTACGTTCGCAGCTTTTGTTTATCCCGTCGTGCTTGCCGTTCACCGTGCCGTTATGCTTGCCGTTTCCCGTCCGTTAGCCGTGAATTGCGTTCGTCGTCATCTTTGCGTTGTGTTTCTTCCGAGGTATACCTTTTACTTTATTTGTATTTGGTTATTTATATTTATTTTATTTATTTATTTATTTATTATCTGTTAGTTGGATATATTAATTCTTTTTTATCTTTTGGTTATTTGGCAGGTTTGGCGTGATTGATTCAAGTCGTGGAGTTGAAGTTTGATTATGGACTTGGACTTGGTATTTATTTATACCTTCCATTAAAGTTGCACTATTTCCTTTACGTTGTTTTCGGAGCGAGGGACGGTGTTTGCTGAACTTTGAAGGACCTTGAAATGGACTATTTTTCAAATGGACAATAAAAAAGATCTTAAGATAAATACGATAATGGGAATAGAATATTACAGAAATTAAGTAGGGAATACGAAGTTTTATGAAAGCAAACACTAGAAGATGGGAGACAGGCTGGCTATGCATTGGAGTGTGCGGCCCATATTGGACACAACTGGTTCTTACAATGCACTTTTCTGAAACTGGTGTGAGGAATTAATGGGAAAGGGAAAATGATTGAGCGACCACAAAAAGAAATGATTGAGCGGGAGGTGGAAAAGTTTTAGAAGAACCAGAAGATTCTGAAAATTTACACAAAAAATTATCTTGCAATTTTTTTTGCTTTTATAGTCTACACTCTGTACAGAAATTGATACCCCCTTTTACACAAAGGTTCAGTAAGTAGATCTTGTTGAGCTACCCTAGTTGAAATATTCTATCCGTTTCACAATAAATGAACATATTTTAGGTTGAAATAAAAAATTTAAAGTTATTTTTTAAAATTGTTCTTTTTTAATCGAAGGGAGTAGTAAAATTGAACTAGCCTTTTGCTGTGCATTTTTGCACGACTAATTAATTCGATCTTTCTGAGAAACTAAACATAAGATAGGGCATAGTTTGGTCGTGAAACAATCTATTCTCTTCATTGTACATTAATTTATCTCTAAATAAAAATTAATCTTAAATTAGACACAATTTAATAGCAGTTAATTTGTTACAGATTAGATCATATGTTAAAAACCAATGTATTAGTCCAGTAAATAGTAACCATAAATAGATAGGGGGCGTTACATATTCCCAATTTTAACAATTCACTCTTTCTAACATGAAAGTTCCTATTTCTCTATGTTTTAAGCATTAGTCATTTTTTTCTAGCTATTATAGTGGAGCAATTTAAGGCCAAATAATCAACACCTGGACACTGACTAAATGATATGTTTAAGTAAAACTCAAGAACATGAGCTAAAATTTGAACACTTCTGGAAATCTTGTACTACTAGTAAGATATGAAATTGGAGAGACATAGTAAGCAAAATGCGGCGCATTAACTTGAATCTTGAAAGCATTTTTCTCACAAGTTTGACAAATAAAATGTCAAAGTACTTGTTTACATTGTCCAATACGCCGTTATAATTGGACATTTCAAAGGGGCATGTTTAGAACGCTTCAATGAAATCACATTTCAGCTATTTATTTTTCCAAAAATCTTATCGTCAAAATAGAAGAATAAATTCTAAATCTCGACCAACAAGAGGGTATTGGAGGATTGATTCTCTTTATGGCTTCATCCATTAACCAGATGCCTCACGTTCACGTTCTAGCTCTGAAAATAAAGAGCTTCTTAATTAGAGAAATATTAGCCACCCTTTTTTTTTTAATAAAAACAAATGATACCAATTTAATTACGTCAATTAGTTCCAAATACAACATTGTCTAAAATCTAAATATATCCAAATTCTTAACCAAACCTTAATTGCGGCGGAGGTTATGGGCGGTTAGAGTGGTTGCCTGTCGGGTGTAATCATTTGACAGGCTTTAGAGCTCCAATTATAGTCCATAAAGGCTAGTGTTATAGATGGGAGGTGGTTGTGAATTCTTTAAGACTAGAGTATATGTTTAGTACCTGTTTAGCAACGTGGTAGATTGGTAGTAATGTGAATCCAACAAATCAATAGAAGTCACGTACTGCTTCTCACTTCACATAATTTATTTGCGGCCACATATAATTATGTAACGTAAATAGATTAATGAGGATAGTCAAATTTATGTTTTTCATACTTGCACCAATTTTTCAATATTATAGCTTCATAAATGCTATTCTCAATAATCAAATCACTTGTACATGACTTTTATCTTACAGTATCATAGGTAAAATGTCTAATACAAGTGTTCATAATCTGTTTCCTTCTCACTAAACATGCTAATTCGTAAGCAGGAGGAGGAAAGAAAGAGGGAAAATTCACCTTTTCATATTGATCAAAATAACTTTTAACATTGAATTTAAAAAAAATTCGAACTCTTCAACCATACATGAAAGTGCTTTCATATGGTTTTTATCATTCTTCTTTATTTTGACTCATAAGCTTTGTAAAAGGACTTTGACTGAAGTTTAAAAATTGTACCTTTGAAAGTCAAATATAAGCAAGAAGCAAACATAAAACTGCCCCAATAAAGTGAACTATAAAAATATTAGGCCCATAGGCCCACAATAATCTTCCAAAGGCTTAATTCCAGACCAGTTGCTTTGGATGACCTATTCAAAATTGAAAATTTGGTGGCTTAGCCGACATTGTGTAAGCAATAAGGCAGCTTTTCTTCGAAGTTTTCTTTGCTTGTGGGGCACTCAAATTTAGGCAACTAAGGAAAGGAAAGGGAAGCCAGAAGAAATGAGTTGCAACATCATTGTTTGGTTTGAGCAAAGAAAGAGAAAATAAAGTGCCCAAGTAACCAAAGAGGAGAAAATACTTTTCTTCATACCCACCATTTTTATTTCTCGGATAGTGATATTCTAATTCTTGTACTTTTTCCTTAGCTTCCTCTCTTGAATTGCCAAGGATGGCAAGCTTTTGCCCTATTGAATGAAAAAGAATTGAAGATGATACTTTATTCATGTCTAAATAAGCGCTAGGACATAAAAAATATATATATTTTTAAAAAGTAGTATTTGGAGTTAAGTTAAAAAATAGTATTTGGAATTTGAAATTATGTTTGGACATGCATTTCACTTGAAAAAATGTTACAGTTTTGTGAGTGGGGAAAGAGAATTTTTCTGAATATTTTGAAAAAGGGTTTTGAAAAACTCATTTTCAAATTTGTTTTTCATAAACTTGTAAAATTTTATGGACAAACACATTTTTGAATTTTTTTTAGAAAAAGGAAATTTTTTTTATGTACAAACGGGGGCCTAAGTTATACATGCATTAGTTATTTCATATTGATGATGGTATAAAATTATATCAAAATTGGTATATAATTTTGTACAAGGACCAATATTTTAAAAGGCGTTTTTGGGGTGAGTCCAGGGGCAAGCCCTGGGGTGAGGCGCACCAAACATGCCCCGAGGCGATGGTGTGGGGCGAAAGCCTCAAGAGGCATACGCCCGGGCGTTTGAGTCGCATTTTTATAGCGAGGCGTAAGCCCCAGGGACTTTTTCAAATTAAAACAAAATTTGTTGAATAAGTTCTTCATATAATACCCAAATTCTCAAAAGTCGATTTGTAATTACTTAAAAGTTTTAAAAAGGAACTGAAATGTATTAAATTTAAAAGTCAAGAACCTTTTTTTATTGATTGAAGCCCTAATTTATGATCTTTCCCAATTCTTTATCTTGTACGCTAGTCTGCTAATATCTCCCAAAAGCAACGAATATTCAATTATTATTTTTTACAAATTCAAAGAGAACTCCATTCTCTTTCATACCACCAAGTTCAAAGTTTAAATTGCAGGTTAGTCATCCTTTTTGTTCATCTATGTAGGTCATGATTTCGAGTTGTTGAAGCAGCCACTAATATTTACATTATGGTAAGTTGTCTACATCACAACTATTGAGATACTTTGTGCATTGTACTGCCCTTTATACTAAGTTTGCATCTAAATGTGAGCCTTGTGTTGGGTTTTTATTTAAAGGGTGTGAATGAGAAATGGAAGAGGTACCTCTTGGATTGCACATTTTCATTTCACCCTTTCTTTGTCTATAAATTTAGAGGCTTGGCCTCATTTTCATATATGAAAAATCTGAAAACTTCTCCCCTATTTTCTATATTGTTGCATTGCTTTTTCAAATAAATAAAGTGTCAAGTGTGATTTTCTTCGTTTGTTGAGTTCGCTGAAGTTCTGTAATTTCTATTGCCATTATTATAGAATTATTTTTCCGTTCTATCCTGGGAGGAAGTAATCCATAACCTTGGGTAACAGTGAGGGAATTAAATTCCTTAAGGACACACAAATAACTTGTGGGCTCGAAATTATTTTACGATTTGTTTATTGAACTAACGTTTCTTTTCCTCTGATTTTCTGGTTTCGAACATAGTGATACTAACAATATTAAGAAATTTAAACTTAGAGTTATTGTTGAAATGACTGATCGGTAGTGAGAAATTTTGTTTCCTGGGTTTATTTGGTACTATCGTAAGGGAAAAACGGAAGAAGAAAATCGAACAAACAATGCCATGTTGAGAACGATGTTGTTCACAGAAAGTTTATACTGAAGGCTTTCAACAATATTGTTTACCCTTAAAATCGGATAATAATTGAATTTGTAAGTGATTTTAAGAATATGTGATTTCACTTGGCACAAACTGAGAAATATGAGAATTGAAGTTAGAAATTAACTGTAAAATAAAGTAAACCGATATATCATGCAGCTTTGGCTCTCGAACTAGGTCGCCCTCGCACCAACTAAGTGTATTATTATAGAGTAAAGGACTGAACAACTGAATAAGAGAGCTTAAGAGAGAAAACGTAATATATTACTTTGTTATGCGTGAATGTGATGATTACAAAATGATTAGAACCACCTTTATATACTAGAGGAATTCTACATATGGTACAATTCTAAATACAGAAGGAAATCTCCTAATTGGCTAATCAACCGGTCTTGACTTGATACATGTTGAGATCTCCGCCACAATCCTCGCCCGGTCACGGATACCTCGGCTTTCTATTATTCGACTTAGCAGGCTTCCTTCGATCTCGCTAGATCTCTATCCTTCTTGGTCTCGACCTTAGCTAGTCTCGATATCGATCGATCCTTGAATCACGAGCTAGGCAATATCTATTCATGTAACGATCCAATATAACTTGAGATCGAACCTCGGTCTGCCGCCCCGGTCTCGATTAACCATACGAAATCGGGCAAGCTCGATTTTGATCGTATACAGATAGTCCCCCCATTTTTTGGAGAGTAATGACAAGAAATGATTTGAGCCTTCGATCTTCACCTCGGTACATCATGACGTAATCATCGTGACATAAGTAGCAGAAGTGACTGAAACGTCTCGTCAGTACAGTTTCTCAAGTATTTAATATGCGTTAGTCGACGATCGGCCACTACCAGTTTTGAACCGTCGTTTGTGAAACCAATAAATAGCCTCCTTCTTCATTATTTCAAACTTTACTTTCAAATTTTTTTCATTCTAATCTCCATAGTTCTTTGCCTTCTTCAAAGCTTCCCATCTTCAGGTCTTTGAGTTTCTTTGCTTGCTTTTCCTAAAACACCAAATACTTCAGTCTCCATTCTCCTTTGTCCACAAAAACTAAATGGCCAAAACATCTAAAACTGTTCCACAGAAAGAGGCTGCTTCCTCATCTCGGCCGGCCGGCGAGAAATCAGTGGTGGAACCACGACTTGAAGAACTTATTTTTGGGGTGTGTGTCATTAATTCCGACTTTAAGGTCGAGAAAACCTCATCGGTTCCTGATTGATGCGAGACGATATCGAGATATATATGCCCAATACCCAAAAGCCTCCTTGACCAGGTGAAGAAAGATTGCAACTGGGGAAACAAAGAGGTTATGATACCGGCACCAGAAGAAGCAATCACCAGCCACGTGGAAGGGTTCCTGAGTGTTTACACTTTTCCTTTCATGCTGGGTCCCCTCGATCCAGGCATCGTAGACTTTTGCAAGAAATACCAGGTGACCCTCAGCCAAATTTACCCCTTTCTAGAGGATCGTGATACTGCTCTATTTCTTCATGAGTAAAATCGACAGGCTTCCCTTCACCCTTGACCACCTCATAAGATTATATAGCCCTCGACTCTATCGAGGTGGGATGATAAAGCTTCAACGCCGGGTCACCAAGGTGCTTATCTTGAGTATAAATGAAGACAAAGATCGGGGCTGGATGGGCCGGTTCGTTCGGGTGAAAACCACAGACCTAATCCCGGCTGAGAGCATGCCATTTCCTAAGAAATGGAATATGAAACGTAAGTATGATTCCGGTTTTAATTTCTGTTCGTTGTTTTTACTTCTTCATCCTTTCTTATCAGTGTTTTTCTCGATGCAGCCGTTGCTTGGATATCGAGTGCAGTTCCCCACCTTGAGAACTGGGATAGGAGCCGGTTTCGACGTCAATATACACCGAACGCGCATGACGCGATTTGTCAAAGGGTCGGTGGGAGGCTCGTACTCATGGTAAGCCTTCTTCCTGACTTACCGATTTGTTTATCGTTCAAACATCTTTTCAAACATGAGTTTACTTATTTTCTCCTTTTGTAGGTCTCGGAAAGGACACGACTATGAGGCATCGTCCGGTGGTGAAGAGGTTTCACCACCTATCTCGAAACCGGCGAAGGTAAATTAGAGGAAAAGGGCCTCGAACTCCGAGGGTCAAAAACCCACGAAGAAAACAGTCCATAAATCGAAGGGGAACATAATCCCACTGACTATGGAGTCAGTCCAAAGGCTAAGGGAAGAAGAAGAAGAAGAAACAGAAGAAGATGATTCTGGGCTGGTGGCCCGTGCACGAGCTAGCACCGAGATTCGGAAGACTCCGGAACCGGTGGGAATTGATACTTCTCCGTCTAGGCTCAATGAGGTTGAGGAGGAAACTTCGGCCCAAGTCCTCGAGCCAAGAGGAACCGAAGATGCTTTATCGCGGGGCAAAGAGACTGTTGAAGAGACGGTGGATGTTAGTGCAGAAACCGGGCTCGAGGCTTCCCAAGATGGAGGCGGTGCCCCAATAGACCCACTTGGGGCAATAGAGATCAGGGATTCCCCCTCGTTTCCTTCATTTTTCGAGTCGATGATACGCGACGCTAAGGCCGTGGAGACTTGTCACGGGGAAGGAGCCCTCGTAGAGGAAGATCCTTTCCGTGGTTGTTTTGTTGGGGTAGAAGGTGTCACCGGTATGAGTGACTCGGAGGTTCCGAAGAAGAGCTCGGGCGAGGCTTCCTCGAGTTTTAAACTGACCAATCAGTTTTCGTCCCCTAGTGCCGATCCCGGGTGCAAGCGATCAATCGTTATCACGGTCCTGGAAGATGCCTGGGTTCTTGCTGCCCCCAAAGGGGTGGCTAGCTTCCTCCGATGTTTGGTCACAGAAGAAGACCAAGCCCATTTGGACGAGGTGAGAGCGCCTTGTCATTTCAACGAAGCCCAACAGGCCCTAAACCGGGCAAGTCCATATTTTCTTTGCCGATGTCAATTTTTACACTTGTACTTTTCTCCTTTCGTATAATTCCTTCTTTTTTATTTTTGTAGGCTTCTGTGCTTTATCACGAGGTTTTCTTCCGATCCCGAGGGGAGTTGATCCAGTGTGAGGCCAAAATCCGAGGACTCACTGAGGAGAAAGATGCATTCAAGCTTCTTAGTGAGCAGAGAGAATGGGAAGCAAAAGGACTTCGGGCTGAGCTAGAAGCAACTCAGAAAGAACAAACTAATATGGCCGAGCAGGTAAAAAGAATCTTTGAAGTTATTGACACTGACTCGGGCGTGGTGGCTAACAGTTCGGTCCCACAGGTTCAGCGAAAGCTCGATGTGATCGGGCAACTTCATGAGGAAGTGGACGCAGTGAAAGCGGAGGCCGAGGCGTGTAAGAAGAACATGGACCGCCTTGCCTCAGAAAAGGAGGCTGCCCGAGCTCAACTGGCCTCGGTTGAGACCCAACTCCGAAGCTTGAAAGAGAAGGCCATGGTGCAAACTAAGAAAATTGAGGAGTTCTAGTCTCGGTTGGGTTCAGCAACTTCCGATCGAGAGAGGCTGGCCACAGAACTTGCAGCGGTCAAATCGGAGGTCAAAATGGCCAAGGCTAATGTTGATGCAATGGTGGCCGTCTACCGATCCGATGCTGAAGCTGCTCAGGTTCGAGCAAAGGAGGTTGCCGAAGCTGCTCAAGCTCGAGCAAAATGGGTTGCCGAGCATGCTAAATGCCAGTCTCGAAGGGAGACTCTCGAGGAGATCCATGCTCGTGACTTCGATCTTACAGACGAGATCGAGAATGCTAAGGAGTTTGAAGCTGAAGGCACGGTGTTGGCCTTTCCTGATGATGATGATTCTGGGAGTATGAGCGGATCTGAAAGCGGAGAAGGCCTCGAGAGCGAATATGCTTCTCCCGGAGAAGACTAAGTCCTTTAGGATTGGTATTTTTTGTGTTTATTTTAAGACCGTTTCGGTCTTTTGTAGAGAAATTTGATTTGGCCATGCTGCCCTTGTAAATGATATTTGACATATATATAAAAACTTTCTTCCTTTCTGCCTTATAAAATTATGAAGTTGTATTCTAAGTCCGAGGTTTAGTCAATTTGATTGAAACCGAGCTAGTATAACTCTTAGGCTTTACGATCGAGTGAATGCTTGCTCGAACTCGAAGTAAGGTAACCCTTAAGTTTTTTATTTGAGCGAGGATGGTCTCTCGNGTTTATGGCTTTCTCCATTTTTTGGCTTGAATTTTTTATTTTTTTTATCATTTGTATTTGCAAAACTTGTAATGCCTTAGCATGGGATAAGGAATTGTTCGAGAGTTCGAACAATTTTGTACTCATTAGAGTTTTCGAGGCTTGATATTATCGAAGCCTTTTATGATTTTGCCAGGAGTAGCCTTTTTAACCGGTTTATGATAGAATTCGAAGGCCTTTTATGATTTTATTACGTAATTCGGATGTCTCCGAACCGTGTTAATTTGGCTGTAGCTTCTTTAGTTCGGGAATTTCCCCTTGGGCTTATTTTTCCGTTTTACTTCGAGCTTGCCCGAAGTGTCAGTCCCCGAGTGGGATAGCCGTGTCTTATAAAACTCGAGTATTTCCTAAAAGGTCTTATGATCTCGGAGTTTTAATAATTCGATCTCGTTTATTTTTCGGACGGCAGTCCCCGAGCATGGGGTTAATTATCCAAACTCTGGTTATGGTCGACCCTTAAGCCTGTTTACATAATAGATCGAGAGTATGAAATTATAAAGTAGAAAACTTTTTCTAAGGCATGAGATATCGGTAAGGAAAAATACTTCTCTTTATAAACGATTATACATGCGTACATGTTCTGTGCCAGGGCTCGAGCAAACTATGCGGGCACGGTTCGTTTGACCGTTTGGCCCTTACAAATTTTTTCTACCGATACCCTGCTGCCATGAAGTAACTTTCTAGTATCAAAGTTGACATTCGAGGGCAATGCCCCCCAGTATTCGAGGTTGATTGTAAAGAAGCCTCAGATACTGTTGAATTGTTCTAAGTTAGCACGATCAATGGTTGCCTCATTAAAAACCTTGCCAAAACCCATTTGGGACAAAACTGGTCTAAGGGAGAAAAAATGCAACGCGTTCTTTCAGACCTAAAGGCTTCGTGTCGAAGAATCCATCGTTGTTTCTGGTCGAACACCTGAAAGGGTTAGTTTAAAATATAAATGAAAATGAAAGGGGCCGTACCTTAGCAGTAGTATCATTTTAGGTGCGATACGTTCCAATTGCTCGGCAGTTGTTCGCCGTTCATCATGCCGAGCTTGTAGGATCCTTTTCCGATGATTTCGAGAACCTGGTACGGTCCTTCCCAGTTCAGACCCAGTTTCCCTTCATTCGGATTTCTGGTGTTGAGGGTGACTTTTCTTGGCACCAAGTCCCCGATGTTAAAATGTCGAAGATTAGCTTTTCGATTGTAGTACCTTTCGATCAGCTATTTTTGGGATGCCAATCGGACGAGAGAGGCTTCAAGTCTTTTGTCCAACAATTCTAGGCTTGTATTCATGGTCTCGTTATTCGACTCCTCTGTTGGATATCAAAACCTGATGCTAGGTTCTACGACCTCGATCGGGATCAGAGCTTCGGCGCCATAAACTAACAAGAACGGTATTGCTCCGGTACTGGATTTTGATGTTGTACGGTATACCCGTAGAACCTCGGGTAGTATTTCTCTCCATTTTCCTTTGGCGTCGGTCAATCTCTTCTTAAGATTTTGGATGATGATTTTGTTGGTCGATTCAGCTTGTCCGTTCCCGCTGGGATGATAAGATGTCGATATGATCCTTTTGATCTTGTGATCCTCAAGGAATTAAGTTACTTTGCTGCCGATGGATTATTTTCCATTATCACATACAATCTCGGAGGGCGTCCCGAATCGACATATGATGTCGTCCCACATGAAGTCTATGGCTTCCTTTTCTATGACTTTCTCGAAAGCCTGTGATTCAACCTATTTAGAGAAATAATCAGTCATAAACAAAATAAACTGAACCTTACCCGGGGCCGATAGGAGAGGGCCAACGATGTCCATTCCCCATTTCATGAAGGGCCATGGGGATAGGACCGAGTGGAGCAGTTCTCCGGGTTGAGGAATCATGGGCACATGCCTTTGACATTTGTCACATTTTCGAACAAACTCCCTTGCATCCTTCCCCATATCGGTCCAATAGTACCCTACTTTGATTATTTTGTGGACCAGCGATTCGGCACCAGAATGATTTGCACAAGTGCCGCCGTGAACTTCCCGTATGATGTAGTCGGTATCTCCCGGTCCCAATCATATTGCCAACGGTCTATCGAAGGTCCTTCTAAACAGCGTTCCGTCTTCAGACAAAGTGAACCGTGCTGCCTTTGTGCGCAGAGCTCTCGACTTCTTTGGATCTGATGGAAGCTTCCCGTTCTTTAAGTACTCTATGTACTTGTTTCTCTAATCCTAGGTTAAACTTGTGGAGTTTATCTCGGCATGACCTTCCTCGATTATCGATCTCATGAGTTGTACAACAGTCCCCGAGTTGAGTTCGTCGTCTTTGACCGATGAACCTAAGTCTGCGAGAGCGTCGACCTCGTTGTTCTGTTCTCGAGGTACATGTTGCAAGGTCCACTCCTTAAATCGATGTAGAGTCACCTGTAGTTTATCCAAGTACCTCTGCATTCGGTCTTCTCGGACTTCAAAAGTCCCGTTAACTTGGTTTACCACGAGCAAGGAATCACATTTAGCCTCTATGACATCCGCTCCCAAGCTTCTAGCTAGTTCGATACCTGCAATCATGGCCTCATACTCGGCCTCATTGTTAGTTAATTTTGTAGTGTTGATAGACTGTCTAACTACATTACCCATGGGTGATTTTAGTACGATGCCTAGTCCGGGCCCCTTCGCGTTCGAAGCACCGTCCGTAAAGAGGGTCCAGACTCCCGAAGATGTACCCAATTGTATCAGTAGTTCTTTTTCAACCTCGGGTATGAGGGTCGGCGTAAAGTCAGCCACGAAGTCCGCCAATATTTGAGACTTGATGACGGTTCGGTGTCGATACTCAATATCTTACTCATTGATTTCTACGGCCCATTCTCGGGTTTGTGCAAAATATTTCGAAGAGGATAAGTTGTTACAACATATATTGGATGGCATTGGAAATATGGTTTTAGTTTCCTAGAGGTGCTTATTAAAGCAAGCACTACTTTTTCTAAGTGTGGATATCTAGTTTCAGCCTCACCTAAGGTCCGACTAATATAATAGACAGGGAATTGCGTACCTTGTTCTTCTCGGACCAGGACTCCACTTACCTCTATCTCCGAGACTGCTAAGTACAGGTAAAGCTGTTCGTCTACTTTCGGGGTATGAAACAGCGGCAGGCTCGATAAATACCGCTTTAGTTCCTCCAAGGCCTGCTGGCATTCCGGAGTCCATGCAAAATTGCTCTTCTCCTTAAGCAGCAAGAAGAATCGGTGGCTCCTATATGAGGATTTCAAAATGAATCGCCCTAGGGCGGCTGTCCGCCCCGTCAGCCTCTACACGGCCTTTACATTATCTACTATCGTGATATCCTCGATAGCTTTGATTTTATCGGGGTTGATCTCGATTCCTCGATTAGACACCATGAAACCAAGAAACTTGTCCGAGCCAACCTCGAATGCATATTTTTCTGGGTTGAGCTTCATATTGTACCTCCTCAGTATAACGAAAGCCTCATGCAATTTCTTTAAATGGTCCTTTGCTCGCAGGTTGCACAAGTGCCGCCGTGAACTTCCCGTAGGATGTAGTCGGTATCTCCCGGTCCCAAACATATTGCCAACGGTCCATCAAAGGTCCTTCTAAACAGCGTTCCGTCTTCAGACAAAGTGAACCGTGCTGCCTTTGTGCGCAGAGCTCTCGACTTCTTTGGATCTGATGGAAGCTTCCCGTTCTTTAAGTACTCTATGTACTTGTTTCTCCAATCCTAGGTTAAACTTGTGGAGTTTATCTCGGCGTGACCTTCTTCGATTATCGATCTCATAAGTTGTACGACAGTCCCCGAGTTGAGTTCGTCGTCTTTGACCGATGAACCTAAGTCTGCGAGAGCGTCGACCTCGTTGTTCTATTCTCGAGGTACATGTTGCAAGGTCCACTCCTTAAATCGATGTAGAGTCACCTGTAGTTTATCCAAGTACCTCTGCATTCGGTCTTCTCGGACTTCAAAAGTCCCGTTAACTTGGTTTACCACGAGCAAGGAATCACACTTAGGCTCTATGACATCCGCTCCCAAGCTTCTAGCTAGTTCGATACCTTCAATCATGGCCTCATACTCAGCCTCATTGTTAGTTAATTTTGTAGTGTTGATAGACTGTCTAACTACATTACCCATGGGTGATTTTAGTACGATGCCTAGTCCGGGCCCTTTCGCGTTCGAAGCACCGTCCGTAAAGAGGGTCCAGACTCCCGAAGATGTACCCAATTGTATCAGTAGTTCTTTTTCAACCTCGGGTACGAGGGTCGGTGTAAAGTTAGCCACGAAGTCCACCAAGATTTGAGACTTGATGGCGGTTCGGTGTCGATACTCAATATCTTACTCATTGATTTCTACGGCCCATTCTCGGGTTTGTGCAAAATATTTCGAAGAGGATAAGTTGTTACAACATATATTGGATGGCATTGGAAATATAGTTTTAGTTTCCTAGAGGTGCTTATTAAAGCAAGCACTACTTTTTCTAAGTGTGGATATCTAGTTTCGGCCTCACCTAAGGTCCGACTAATATAATAGACAGGGAATTGCGTACCTTGTTCTTCTCGGACCAGGACTCCACTTACCTCTATCTCCGAGACTGCTAAGTACAGGTAAAGTTGTTCGTCTACTTTCGGGGTGTGAAACAGCGGCAGGCTCGATAAATACCGCTTTAGTTCCTCCAAGGCCTGCTGGCATTCCGGAGTCCATGCAAAATTGCTCTTCTCCTTAAGCTTCGAGAAGAATCGGTGGCTCCTATATGAGGATTTCAAAATGAATCTCC